TAATTGATTTCTTGAAGAATTAGACTAATAGGATTACAATTTTTATAAAATTACAAAATTAAAATTTTTGTTCCAATGTACCCTTTTGCTGTAGAGGTCCCTATATATAGTTATGAAATCAAGAACTAAGCAAGAATATTAGATCAGGATTTGATCATATGTAAATAGCTCCTGTGGCAAAGCTATGAATAATATAGTTGGGATAATTGTACAGTATTTGGTATACCATATATATATATATATAATACTATATAAGTCAAATGTATAATAAAAGTTATATATTAATAAACATATATATATAGTTACACCTCCTAACACTCTCTAAGTGCACACCCTCTAAGTGCACAACATATAAAAAACTTCTCTAAGTTCACACCAAATAATATAACAATTATAAATTTTACCCCTCTAAATACATATTATGCTTTTTTTTTCACTATAGTCTTGATTAAAGAGGGGTGCATTACGTATAATAATTCTTTGCATATTATAAATATGTAACTTTTCGTAGTTAAATAGATACATAACTCATTAGTAACTGAATATTTTGTATAATAAAATATTTTATAAATATTATTTATATTAGCAAAGTTTGATAATAACTAAACCTTTTGTTTTTTGATAAAATTTATACTAATGCTTTTAATAATAATTAAAGATTTTTATTCTACTTATTTAAGCAAATTTGTAGTATATAATATGTAAATAGCTTATTATTATGATCAATATTTGAAACCCCTATAAAAGAACATGTCCCATAACTGCTACGCTTTTTTTCTCAGAATGATTGGGTATCTGCATCTAGACACAATTGTTTGCGAACAGCTTACGGTGAATTATTTCGTAAAAGATGTATATTCCGATTACATGTTTGTAGCTCCGTTCTGGAAAGTTGAATTTATAAGTATAATACTGTAAAAATTATATATTTATAAATAAACTAAATAAGTAATCTTTTATGAATTATTTATTTGGAATTTTTCTTAGTTAATGTCCATGATTGATAATTCACCATGATGATTTAGATATTACATGCTAAGAAGATTTGGAGAAACAGCAAATATATTTACAATATATGTATAAACATCATTAATTGGAAATGCTAGATTTCTTAGTACATGTCCCAGAACAAAACTAATTATTAAAAGAAAGTTCAATAGATTTTCAATAAAACTCTTTTAGCCACATTCACCTTAAATAACAATTTCTCGGGATTTAATATCTTCTTCGATTGTCACGCTTATCACTTCTTTTTCCACTCATTGGTGCGAGTGGCATTGAAGAAACCAAATCATTGATATGCTCCACAGAACGATTTAATTTGATGGGTGGACGGGGAGGTACGGTAGCAGCGAGACTTTCGATGCCCCGTTCAATATTTCTCTTCTTGGTTGAAAGAACTGGTAATTCCGGTTCATCATCTCGGTCTCTATCATCACGATCTCTCTTCTTGCTGCTTAAAAATCTTTGTGTTGCCATGATTTCTCGATCATCTCGTGGTCTGCGAATAACAGGATCTTCAATATGTCGTCTTCTACCATTATCATTTCGATGACGATCACGTTCACTTTCGCGTTCTCGCCTATCTTCACGATCACCTCTTTCCATCTCACGCGACCTTTCTCGCTCTTTTTCTTTGCCTTTGTCACGTCGTTCTTCGCGTCTTTCATCACGTTTTTCTCGTTCTTTCTCCTTAATTTTTTCTTCACGATCTCGTAAACGAGGATGATGATCAATTCTTTTATTCCGATCATCAATGGGCAGTCTTTCTTTATTACGAATCATCAATTCCTTTTTATCATCACTACCACTTCGGGGAATTTCTTGCTTGCGATCTCTTTCTCGTCCTCGTTCTTTTTCACGTTCATAATGATCCAATTTTTTAACTGCTTCCTTGTCTCGGTCGTGATAGTCGTTTTTCTTTATTTCTTTTTCACGTTCAAATTGAGCATCTTTTCTATCTTTGATACGATCTCTCTCTCGGTCCCTATCACGGTCTTTTTTATTAAAAGGCTTGTCAGGTAATGGATGTATTTGCCTTCGTGGACTATTAGTTCTAACAGTTGAATGAGAAGGTGATAAGTTATCACCTCTCACATTTGATAAAGGACTTGATCGTGAGGCTTCTAAAACTTGAGTTGTCCTTTGTGAAGGAGATGATGGACCATTTTTTTCAGTTCTCTCGTCATGTTTCATCGATCTTTCATCATTTGGTATTGAATCCGTGGCGTTGGAGCTTTTTGGCTTTTGAAATGATCGAGTAGACACCCAAAACTGTTGCCTCCCCTTTAATACAGCAGAATAACTTATAGCCAAAGTTAAAATGTCGGGATTTCCACTTTTAACAATTTTATCAATATTGTCTTGAAGTTTCTTTCCGAAAGTATCAATAGCCGGGAAATATAACACAATGTCGTTAAGGACAATAATAGAATTCCTAACTGAAAAGTATTCCATAGATTGAAGACCTTGTTCAAAAGCCTTAAGAAGTTTTGAGTGCCACTTATAATATACACGTCTAAAGTCTTCATATTGGAGTAGATCAGTTTCGGAAATGCTGGTAGGCTGGCGATTATGTGCAGACCATTTCATTTGGAATCCTGGAATCCCCGATCCTTTACCTTTATGTTCATATTCTTGTGGATTTTTGTGCAATTTATTAAGGGATGTCAAAACTGTTTGAAGAAAAGCACCGTAGTTCCGTGCCTCAGATTCAGAACAAGTAAATATCAATGGTTGCACTTGGTCTGCAAAGATCCGATCATATAATGTGAGCGTTGAGAAGTTAGCGGTGCCAATTTCATGCATAGTTTCAATGAATTTAGCACAAAATACGGCATTATCAGCACTTGTAATCAGCCGAGGGAAAAGGCAATACTGCCAAAATTGTGTTATTATATCTTGACGATTAGTGAATTGTCCGGAAAACCAATGATCTTTCTCGATCTTTAATCGGTTCTTAACATTTCTTACGTGTTGCTCATGTGTTCGCCTCTCTTCGTCAATTTGACGAGCGATATCAAGGACTTTGGATTTATCACGAACCTTATCGTCATTGGCAGAATTTAGCAGATCATTTTTAGCCTTACGATATTCCTCTTGTGGGAATTCTAGGTCGTATAAAGACAATTGCCAAAAAGTAATAAAGAAATGTGGACTGATCCCATTCCACACATAGGCCGGTAGAATGGACTTAACTTGGTCGATTATAGATAATAAAGAGGGCTGCCAAATTATTGTTGACTCATTGTCT